TGCTCAACCAGGTGAATCTTAGGAAAAGAAACTTACCCTCATATCATAGCAGATTATGGTTAGCACAGCCTCTTGATAAAATACCTTAGAATTAGGCCTCAGATGAAAGAATGATACAGATTAAGCATCCCTAATTTGGAAATCCAAAATCTGAAATGCTCTAAAATCCAAAGCTTTTCAGCACCAAAATGGTACCACAAGTGGAAAATTCCATACCTGGTCACATGTGATTGGTCTTAGTCAAAACAGTACAATAAAAGTTTATATAAAATTATCATTGGCTGTGTATATAAAATATGTATGAAACACAAATAAATTTTGTTTTTAGTCTTGGTTTCTATCTCCAAGATGTCTCATTATGTATATGCAAATACTCCCAAATCTGAAAATATTTGAAATCTGAAACACTTCTGGACTCAAGCATTTCTGATAAGAATGTCCAACCTGTGGTACCTTCATAGCTCATCATGATGGTAAGTTGGCTTTGTAAATTACGTGATGTCACAGAAGGTAGGGAAGCCCATGATGAGCCATGACTCTGTCTTCAAGATCTGAGGTGCTTACATTGGTGTATTGGCCAGGACTCATCCTGTTAGAAGGACAGAAACTAATTTGATTTAAAAAGAAACATATTAGCTGACTTAAGCAAAAAGCCCAAGGTTATGCTTCAGGCCTGGCTGAGCTGGGTGCTCCGTTGATGTCACCAGAACTCTGCGTCAGCCCTCTCTCTTAGCTTTGCCTTCCTTGGTGTGGGCTTCAGTCTTGGCAGCATGTGAGAGCAACATGGCACCCACAGGAGCAGCGCTGAGCCTTTGCCTCAGGTCTCAGGGGCAGTGGGTAAGAATAGGAGTCATATTCTCATATTCCCAGAAATACGGAGAAAAATCTGATTCCCTCTCATTCACTGCGACTGGGTCACACACACCAACCAACGAGAGAGAAATGCAGCAGGCTGATGGGAACAGGCTGATGTCACACGCGGCTTTTCCAGAGTAGAATCAGTTTCACGGACCACATGAAGCTACAGGAACCACATCTCCTTCAGGATGGGAAAAGATGGCTTTAAGGAGGAGTTCAGGACACATGTACTACCTAGAGGGGAGGCTGGACAGCAAAATCAACAGATGTCTACTACGGCCGGGCTGTTGTCATTTTATTCTAGTGCTGCTGGGAAAAGCTACTAAGAGCAAATTCAGCAAATCACAGCTGACACTGAAAGGAAAAGGCTATGAATTTAAGGGCTCAGCCTCTTTTCTCTAAGTAGAACATAGTTTATATGATCAAAGACAGATGTTTGTTTATCCTGCACTGAAAGCTCTCCAGCCAAGAGGACTGCAAATACCCTTTCCCCTACAGACTGTTAGGGGCTTTGCAACTCTTACTAAGTAGAAACTCGGTGGGGGACTATCTGAAATGGAGTATTAAATATGAGTGGAGAAAGCTAAAGGGCTGTTATTTCACAATTCTGGAATTCAGAGCAATAAAAATGTTGGTACTGTTATTGGCTCAAGGGGGAGAATCTTTTATTTATGAAACAACTTTATTTGGATAATTTTGGCCTCTCAAGAGCCTTTCCCTGTGGTTGTCTTATATAATAACTCCTGTTTTTATTATGTGCTATTCTGTTGGGTCCTCTGAAATAAGAATTTACTTGCTATACATTTAGTTGCTGCAGGATAGGGCTTTTCTACAATCTGCATGTCCTTTGGTATACTACTAATTCACATCCTTTTAAGAAAGAAACCAAGTTTGGAGGCAACTTTCATTAAGATTTCTTGTCACACATAAATTTGAGATATGGACTGAGGCCTTATTTACATGGAGTGCCCATGCCAATACTATTTCATGGATCTTAACAGTAGGATACATTTTGGGAACTAATCTCTGATGATGAACATGCAGAGATGGGTTTTGATTTCTGGAAAAACACTTGCTCATGACCTAGGTAATGCCAACTCCCTTACGGGCTAATACTGATAAATGAAGTGAAACCAAGTTTTATGAATTAAAGCACACATTTCTGTATCCTAGTAACTGAGCTTGAGAGTCTGGTGGTTTCTGATCCCTACTCCCTACTGACTGGCAAAGGTATGAGCAATGTGAGAGCGTGTCTGTGATGGACAGCATCAGGTCTTGAGTTCCAGTATTCCACTCCGGTGGCAGAACAGTCCTAGTCATCATATGTGAAACTCCATACCCACATGCCTCCTCATAGTCTTGAATATCCTGTGTTGGGCTAAATTCTTAGGAAGAGCAAAGTACACAGAAATTGTTTCAGGGTAGGAAATAAGCTGCCCACAGTGCAATTCAAGCAGTGTTAGGATGGATCCTACCTAAAGACTGAGACCCCACAGAAATGGCCCACAACAGAAAAAAAAATGAATGAGTCATCATAAAGCGATCTTGCAGACCGAATTAGAGGCATCCTTTCGGCATTTCTCTTAATTCACATTCCTCACTTCTAGCCGTGTCTACTTTTATCAGTGTTACATCAGTTGTCATTATAGAATACCAGGTATTATGACACCTCCTGTACACTGTGGGAATGTAAATTAGTGCAACCACATAACAGTACAGCAGTTCCTCAAAAAATTAAAAATAGATTGACTATACTGCTTCTGGGAAATATCCAAATGATGTAAAATCCACATACCAAAGAGATTCCTGCATATCCTTGTTTATCCCAGCACATTCACAACCGTATGGTGTGGAATCAGCCTAGATGCCCATCAGTAGATGAGTGGATAAAGGAAATGTGGAATATACACTGAGTAGTGCTCAGCCATGAAGAAGAGGACACCCTGTCACTCGCCGCAAAATGGAGGAGCCAGAGGACGTTATATTAAAGTGAAATAACCCAGACACAGAGAGACAATACTGCATGTTCTCTTCTGTATGTGGAAGCTAAAAAGGTTTGGCCTGAATGTACTCTAGTGATCATTAGGTTTGAAAGGATTGGGGAAAAAGGGTGGATAAAGGGAGATTGGATTTGATTTGAGAATTATGCAAATGTTTAAATATTACATCAAACCCCACTAAAATGTATAATTTATACATATTAATTAAAAATAAAATATGATACATAAAGACCATTGCACCAGGGCTAAAAGAAGAGTATGTACCCTATCTTCCCAGAGATTAAAAATAATTATGAACAGTGGTAGAACTTCCAAAAGTACATGAAAACTGCTTCTTGAATTATGAAAAATAAAACAATATTCTGCCACACTGGCAGAATTCTTCTCTTATAGAGAAGCTTGTCTAGGTAACTAGTGTCCCCAAATGTCTAGGCCCAGAGGGCCCCGGGTTCTACTACGCTGGGATGATATTCACAGACATCCCCACACAAATAGCTCCTGGAATGTGTGACCAACACTCCCAAGGTCAGACATCTGTAAGTATATTTGTAAGTTGTCCAAAACTTCAGTTCTGTAGGGCTTGGTGTAATTTTCTCAGATTTTTGGTCTCAGGTTTGCAAAAAAAGATGTGGCTATAAATTTCAGTGAGCCCAACCCAGATTATCGAGGACAGCCAAACAAAGGGGCCCACAGTGAACAGAAGACGAATCCCATGAATAGTAATACTGGTACAGGTAACTTTGGACCAGTGGGCAATGGTGTTCAAACTGGCCCTGAATCAAGGAGATACCAGGTTTCCTATGCTGGTAGAAGCAATGGCCGAGGACCTGTCAGTCCACAACTCCCAGCAGCAGCTAATAATCAAACAGTCATGACCACAGTAAGTAGTGGCAGGGACCCTTGAAGAGCCTTTAAGAGATGACCTATGCCAAATAGTCACATGTAGTTTTTAAACTACGTGCCCTACTTGAACACTTACTGCAGTTTTATTTATTGTTCACTGTGAAACAAAATGTTCTTTATTGGTTTCCTTTTACATTTTTGTTCAAGTGGTTGGTTTTTATAGCAAAAAATGTTAAGGTGTTCAGTCTCCTAGTGAAGAATGGGAACACTCTGAAAAGTAGGGACATTTATTTTTTGAGCAAAATGTTATTGAATATCCTCTAAAAATCCTGCATCCATTTTAAGGGTGAGTTACCTAAAACATCAGCTTTATAGCCTCTATGAGTCTGTGTTCTGTATAAATTTTGTAATATTTGACATTAGACTTAGTGGAGATGTTCTTATGTTTTAAATCTAGATGTTACCAACTAAAGCAATAACCAGCAAAAATAGAAACAACAACTAAAAACCAGAAACTCAGTCAATGATAGGAATTTCTGAGTGTTTTTGACTCAAGGAGTGACTGACTTTAGTGAGTGACTGCCATTAAGATTTTCCAAGGACTGAATCATCCTAAATTCTTGCTTATTACCAGAAAACAGATTCTCTCTCAGAATTATGAAATAGAATGTGATCTTTACTGTAACAAATAATTTTTAGAAGAAAGCTACAGTTGCTATAATATTCATTAACATTATAGATTACATTGAAGAGAAATTACAAACTAAGACCTTGAATATTTTCGAGACTACCATATATAATTGTATAATTTGAGAACATCATAAAGTCAATAAACATTGACCTAATTCTAAAATATAACTGGTAGATAAACATCATAAAGAAGGTGATTCAAATTGAATTCGTGTAGTACTAATATTCAGTCTCAAGTTACAAACCCTAAGTACTTAGAGGTACTCAGCCTGAAGTGAAAATCCTTGGCACCTCCTTTTTCTAAGAGGATCATGTGTGTGCTGTCAGTTTCTGAACACAATTTGATAGCCTTATTAGCAAAAGATAAATGACTCAAATCATTATAGCTTTATTCAGAGATGTTAAGTTGGAATTTGTGTGTCATAAATGGTACCCACTTCTACTCTTTACTGTAGGGTGGATAACTCGTAAACTTTGTTAGATTCACCTCTTTTTAAATATCTCTTGAATAAAACTTGCGTTCATGTTAAAAAAAAAAAGATGTGGCTGTAAATTAATGCTATATTTTACTTTCTCTTTGATTTTTTGGCTTGTGGGGCTGGAAATCAGGAAGAAGAGTTCCAAGAAGAACCTAAGTGCCCTGAATTGGAACAGAAGACAGCATCAGGTAGAGTGCGTTTGGCTCTTTCCTGGGCTGCTGGTGCTGACGGCAGGAATCAGTGGCTCCCAGAGCTTTGCAGATCCCAGAGGGAAACCTGTGCTTCCAAATGACTGGAAACATGATGAGAAATGTCACTGTGATGCATTCCAGGGACGATGTCTGGACAGTCTAGTCGTAATACGGAAAATAGCTTATTCTGTTTGCCTTCTTTCTTTTATTGATTGGATGTCTTGATGAACAAATGCTTGCAAAGCAGCAGCAGATGATGAAGAAATTTCAGATTCAGTAATGGTAAAATAAGGGGTATGGTTATTTACTGAAATGCTTACGATTGTCTTGGAAAATGTTATTTAGGTGAGTTTTCTGGGTTTTAAAATGTTAGTGTGTAGTAAAGTATGTGGCTTTGATAAAGTTATATATACTGTAATAGGGCTTCCTGAGAGACAATGTGGGAGGGAATGAGTGATGAGCAAGTTTATAACTTAGTTTATGACTAAGACCAGTGACGATGATAAGGAACAAATGGTCATAAAAATAAACATTAGTTGAATGGACTTAGTAATAATGAAAGCTAAATCTTAATGCTCTTATCTATTTTCCAAAAGCGTTTAGTTTTATATGGTTCAGTATTAGAAGATGGCTCCAGATGTTTGCTACTGGGAGAGGGTCATGTTCTTATAATTTAATGGAAACCAGGGAGAAAGATTAAGAAATTGGAGATGGTAATGTAATAGAAAGATTACGCAAAGTGAGAGAAAAACATTTAAAGTCAAACATCACCATGAAAAATAATTTTGGAGAAAAGGAGAGTCAACGCTTAGATAGAAATCCAGAATCCCAATTTCTTGGTGATCAGTTGGTGTCCCTTTAGGTTTCTGACATGGAAATAAGTGGCTTATTTTCCTATTTCTTTCAAAAAATACTCCATGATCCTACCCCTAAGTTGAAATTTCAAGCAGAAAATAGGGGGTTTCATTTCTTAAAAGTGCTTGGGTCCACACACTTTGAGCTTGCTGTAGCGTCTTCCTTACTCAAGGCTGACTCCCAAGTCTGGGTCTTCGCGTTGAGTCTTTGGTGCACAGCGTCTCTAGTCTCAGCCCAGTTGACTCAGATCACCCTCATTTAGGACCCATTCGTTGAGTTCCTGTTAGGTACAGGGTAGGCACATTGAATCTGTTAAATCATTTGAAAACTATGACTATATAGTGTGACGGAGCCCGCCGTCACTTGTCGAACAGCACCTGAATGGGGGAGTGAGGAGGAAGAAAAAGAAAGACGCAGCGGTAGAGTCGGGAGCCTCCCAGAGAGCCTGCCGCTGCGCTTTTTTATTCTCCTCCCCTTTTTATCACAGGTGAGTTTGGTTATTAATCATGACCCTTATCCAAAGACACCTGCTTCCTTGTTCTGTAGTTCTTTGGAATTTCCCCACCCTCATGGGCTTTCTTGTTTCTCGGGTTTACAAAGTGTTCATCATGCTCCAGGACAATTTCTGAAGGTAAACATCTAATTTGGCAAGGACGCGGTTCCTCGTAACAGAGTCTCCTTGCTCTATACAGTGGAGGGTAAGATTTAACATGGAGCCTCTGTGGCTAACACCGCTCTCCACAATAGTGTATGCATTAGTCAGGGTATTGATAAAGGAAAAACCAAATATTGTAAGTTGACTCCAACATGATGCCTATTTGGAGTCCAGCCCAGTTCTTGGCTGATGGCCTAACCCTCCTGAGAGCTGTGGGTCATACTTGTGAGTCCCACCCAGGGGTCACGGTGGATTCCTTAAGTGTGAGTTTAATCTTTACCACCATTGTTGACTGTCTTCTGCTCCTAGTATCTTAACTTCTATGTGCCTTTCAGGGTTTCTTAGAAATTGGCTTGTCTGGAATGAATAGTATTCATTCCAGGTAGTATTTCCTCTAGACTCCGGGAAGTCTAGCTGAGTGGAAAGGGTAGCCCCTTTGTAACAAGTCCCTTTCAATGAGATACAGCTTCAGCTGTTGCCTGCCAGTGCCCCATCTCACAGAGACATGCAAGGCAGGCTGGGCAGGGGTGGAGTTTGTCTCTGCCCTTAGCTGCCCTTCCTGTGCTGTGCTCTCCTCAGGGTGCTGCCTGCCCACTCCCTTCTGTTCCCAGATTCCCCGCCATCAGAAGGTCAGGCAGGTAGGCACACAGACCACGGCACATGGTGCTGCCTCTCTTTACACTGCTGGTATTGTGAGCCTCAAATCTGCCTGTGGAATGAAAAGTACAGCAGCTGTTAAGGGGATTTTAAACATCAGCAAACAAGCAACGAAATACGGGTGGGAGGAGCAGGAGGTGTTTGTCGGTGGCACTTGCAGTGGCAGTCACAGCATGGGCCATCGGTTTCTCACCCCGAGCAAAGGAAGCCCAGAGTCACAGGAGCGCTGGGCGAAAGCTCCATTAGACTGTGCGCTTCCCGGAGCAGGGATGACATCCTTTTTGCTTTGTTTTGTGTTTTCCTGGGAATTGAGCCCAGGCCTTCACACTGAGCTGTATCCCCAGCCTTGTTCGTTCATTCTTCATTCATTCATTCATTCATTCACTTTGAGACAGGGTCTCACTAAGTCACTAGGCTGCCCAGGCTAGACTTGAACTTGTGACCCTCCTATCCTAGTCTCCCAGTGTGCTGGGATTACAGGCCTGTGCCACCACACCTGGTAAATTATGTGTATTTAAAAGTAAAGTTTGGCCTTTTATTGAAAGGTGCCATTTTAAAGATGCAATGCATCCTTTGGATATAATATTCAATTCAAAAATAATGAAAAGGTTACAAAACTAAATCTGGGATTTGCTTTTAAGGCTCACAGGGAGAGGGAAGAATGAGCTCGTGGCGTGTGAACAATGATGATCTTTGTGGAGGAACATTCTCCATACTTACACATCTCTTTGCTGTGGCCAGAGGCTGTTTGGATAATAAACAAAGATTCTTTGCTGATAGTAGCAAGGAAGGGGTCGTAGCATCAAGCAGAGCTTGGGGAGGATGACTGTGGCGAGCCGGTTCCTGGTAGCTGAGGACGGGCCGGAGAGCAGTGTGTGTGTGTGTGTGTGTGTGTGTGTTCTCACCCAGCCGTGTCTCCTTGGCAGTTGCCAGACCAGAGGGCTCCTTCTTCCTGTATCAGTCAGGGCTCCGTAGGGGAGCAGAGCTGCTAGGCTATAGATTTGGAGAAGGTGCAGTCTGAGGAACTGACGCATGCGCTTACCAGGGCTAAGTCCCATGACCCGTCCTTGTGCACCGGACCCCAGGGAAGGTGGTTTAATTCAGCCCCAGCTTACAGGCCTGAGAGCCAGGAGCCAGTACTGTCAGTCCTGGTCCAAGGGCAGCGGCAGGCTGATCCCCTACTCAAGCAGTTGGACAAGAAGCACCTTGGTCCACTCCTGGGTCATCCCCTCTCCCCTCACCGGGGCGGCCAGTCTACGCCAGCAAAGGGAGTGCTAATGTCTCCCGGAGACACGCCAGACACGCCTGAAGGAGTGCTGCTGAGTCTGGGCACCCTGGGTCCAGTCAGGTGGACACAGTGTGCCATCCCTCTCCTGTTTGCCTTCCCACGGAGCGCGTCCCTTTCCCCAAATTTGCCTTCTATTTTGGAGTGGAAGTTTTATGACGAATCCCTGTTAATCTCTTTTTATTCAACTTAAATGCTTCTAGAACAACAAGCCAGATACTTACAAAAGGCATTGATAGTGAATAAGATCAAAATTGAACATTTCTTGTCCAGAGGCTTGGGCCTATAGCTGATCTAGAGAAACTGCAAGTCCTGCCCTTACTGATCTCATTTGTAGCCCAATAAATAGAATTTGGTTAATACATACTAGTAGAGAGAGAGAAACCTTTTGAGGGTAGCATCTCATGTCTTCCCTTGTTCATTCATTTCCTGTGGATAGGTCGACATGTAAATGGGCCAGCTGTGTTTTCTTGAGAGAACTCTTTTTGAAAATGAGTTGCATCTTGCTAACGGCTATATTTTTTAAAAAGTGAAATATGTTTGAAAAGTGTTAACTCTCTCACCATTCCTATTGCTTGTGTATCGCTTTAGAAGGAGGCCAAGTATTTTGACATGCTGAAACGACTTTCAAATGAGTGTACAATTCGAGGAGACTCATTATGAAACCTTTATTATTTCTCTGGCATTACTCAACCTGTGCCCGCAGACTGTAGAGATGACACTTGGTCACTGGCGGGGGTGGTCCTGGGAGCTGGGCCACTCATGGTGCTCAGAGGGTTTCTCAGAGCACTCTGTGGAGGCTGAAGATCACCCGCAGCCCAGTGCAGCTCAGCACATCTCGGAGCTGGCTCTGTGTCCTTTTCATGTCCTGTGGTTTGTAGGTTAAGTATGAAGTAACAAACTCCAAACAATCCAAGTTCGTGCAATGAGGAAAACAATATGTGTATTTTTGTGACTTCTGTGGGGAGTGAGACTCGGGTTACACTGAGCAGCTCTTAGTCGCCCCAGTGCAAGGCCAGCCCCTGCAGGACGGCCCCCAGTCACAGGCAGCTGCCAGGCCTTGCTGAGCAAGACCCACTTCCTGGTTATTCAGACAAACTATCTGCTGCTACACTCTCGTCACAGCAAAACAGTCAAAAGTGTACACCAAAGCCAAGTGTATGAGGCGTGATTGAAACTATGGTGGCTATTTAAAGTAAGAAAAATGTACCACAGTAACAGACACATTGCTATTAATCCCCTCACTTGGAACCCTCTCACCCCCTTGTTCTTGTCACTTTCTGGAGCAGTTCTGGAAGTCCTTTTTCACGAGTGTGTACGACTGCACTGTCATGGCTGCCTCGAGTTCCTGAATCGATTCAAAATGCTTCATGGTGATTTTGACTTTAGTGAAGAGCCGGAAGTCACTTGGCGCCAGACCAGTGAGTAAGGTGGGTGAAAGCACAGCTTAATGTTTTTACAAGCCTGCCTTTCTGTTAGATGGCACTGGACAGCCACATTCACTGTATTTTTGATCACTCCTTGTAAAGGCACTCAAGAAAGAGCACTTCCAGAACTGCTTCAGAAAGTGGCAAGAAGGATAGGGTAAACATGTTTGAAGTGAGCGAGATGTATATTTCTATCACACCCATATTTTTGTCTCTTTAATTGTGCAAAAAAAGTACTTCTCATCCACACAGACTTTCCCAAGACCCTGGCCAAAGAATGAACAAGCAACTGTTTAGATAGGCAAATTAGAAAAGAAAAAGAAGGGCAGTATCTGTACTTCCCCTGCCCGGGATTCAGTTTCTTTCCATTCCCTTTGTCATAAAACAGACAGTCCAAGGACCTGTGGCAGGGCTTTATCAGAGAGAACGCCCCTGGAGTTTGGAGATAACTTTCAGGGAAGGCCTGGTTCCGAAACTCCTTTCTGGGACTTTCTGGTCTGCGTGACTCACGTTTCACCTCATACCAGACCTTTGGTCCTAGGAAGATTTTCCTCGGCTACCTGCAGTGACACTGATCTCCCTTTCAGTTCTTACATCCCACCCAACTTGTTTTTCTACAGTTCTACATTTGGCGTCACCCACTGCGCCATCAGGCTGGCTTGCTTTCGTCTGTCCTCCCCTGCACAAGGTAAGCTGTGCGGAAGCAGGGATGCTGGGCCCTTCACAAGCTCCTGCACACACAAGCAGTCCCCAGAATGGAGCTGGCCAGGAGCTGGGGCTCAGTGCATCATTGTTGAATGAGAATGGATGCTTGTTTTCTTAAACTCTTCCTAAAGCAATTCAATGAATCAGAGCTGAATGCTGTTTTCTATTTGTTTTTTTACTTCGGCTCTCAGCACAGTGTCTGGAACACACGAAGAACTATAAATAAACAGTCGTTTGACTCAAGCATGCATGCATGAATGAGCAGTTGAGTGGTTTCCAGCAGTCTGTGATGCAGAGTGCCGTTCGTCGGGTTCCTAATCAACATGAAGTGGATCGTACTGATCCAGGGGGAAGTCAGAGACCAGTCAGACATGAGCTGGCCTGCCACAAGCCAAACGCGCTTCCGTCACCCCACGATTACTTTCTTCCCATTCTCTTAACCCCAGCACAGACAGCCTGAGAGCTCATGGTGGCTTTTACTGGAGGAAAAGCTACCAAGGGTTGTAGGTGACTTTCAGCAAAGCTCTGACCCCTCAGCTCCCTTTTGAGGTGGAACTAATCTCTGCTCTAGTCTAAGGAAGCCCACTATTTTGCTTGTTTCAGATTGTAGAGATTTCAATTTCACCAGAATTTCAATTCCTCCTAAGAAGTGAAGTGGCAAAGTGCTGCTGCTGGAGATTTAGCAGGAGCCACAGACGTAAAGAAGAGCTATGACCCCTGGTCTAAGAACTCAGAACTGTACAGGACAGGGAGCTATGGCTCTCACATACAAAGAGATGCTTCTAGAATTTACCCATAGATCTTGCATTATCAAGTGTAAATAGGAGAACATCACTATTGTTATTATAATTATATTATTGCCTAGATTTTCTCCATTGGTTAAATCAGCTGGAATTGCCCTAGATTCTGAGGAGCTATTTCTTTGGTGGCTAGGTATTATAGTCACTTTTTTCCTCCCTGAGACACAATACCTGACACTCATAACTAAAAAGAGGAGAGGTTAATTTGGGCTCACAGTTTCAAAAGTGTCAGTCCATGGTTGGCGAACTTAAGAGAAAAACAGCACAGTGGAAAGGTCTGCAGAAGAAGACTGCTCACATTATGGCAACCAGGCAGCGGAGGGAGAGGGGAGGCGCTGTACGCTTGCAGGCCACACCCACAGTGACCACCTGGCGGGAGCAGGCCCACGTCCAAACAGCACATCAGCTACGGAGCCCCAGGATCCAGTCACCTTCCAGACTCCCAGCTCTCAGCCCACTGTAGGGGAACATTCTTGACCTAAACCATAACACTAGGGGTGGGGTAATGTTTGCTTTCGGCAGGAGAGGCAGCAGCGGTGTGCTAAAGGTCTGGAGTAAGAAAGTTCTTGGCCTGCCTGTTAAAGATGTGCCGATCTGCTTCAAGCCCACTCCCATTTTGCATTCAGAAGGTGTCGGCTAATGACAGAGTCTCGTGGGCCAAACTATGAAGTGACAGTACCATCCACACCTGCACAAACAGTACCCTTTCTCCTCAGGGTCACCCAGAGAGCCGTCTATGTTTTTGCCCTCTCTCTCCGGGCAGAGTGCTAATTGTTTCCAGGGTTTTTTTTAAATTCAGGAAATTCAACAGACTACTTACTGCTCATAAGCTGAGAAATGCCAGAGATAAATAAAAATGAGAGTGTGGTTTAGTCCTCTGTGTTTGAGGTAGACTTGATATGCTGTTGATTGATTGGGTACCTGTGCCCTCAGAAGAGGTGAGATGAATGTGTGCAGCAAACTGTGGAATTGGACGTTGTGCTCATGTGCCCTGAGCCTCATTCCATGGCATTCCACACCTAGTTCTCTAGCCACAGCAGAAGCAGAAGCATGGAGCTTCCCAGTTTACCCACCAAGTGCGTTAGTACCAGGGATGAAACTTTCAGTGTGGTAGAATTTGGAGAACTGCTTGATTTTTGTGTGCCACAAGATCTCTTTCTACACTATTTTACTCTCTTTTAAAGTTTTCTTATTCGTTTGCTTAAAATTTAATGCTGGCCCTTTGTAGAAATCTCTTAGAGGGGAAAGAATTACAAAGATGCCATTACCATTCAAAATCAGAAGTGGTGGTCTTCAAGTGTTTCCCTCCTGGAGGAACCCCTACCCACATCCCATTTTACCCTTCCTCCCACTACGTGTGAATAAAGACAGATCTTGTACTGCTCACTAGGGATTTGGATGTCCATCCAGCTTTCTCTGCAGGGTGCACATTCCCTCCCACTCTCAGGATGTGGAAGTTGGAAATCAACGCCTAGATAGTCCTGCCCCTGGTCACAAATGTTCATAAGAGCAAACAGAATCCAAAGTTTACAAATCTCAAAGATTGTTTTCGAAGTCATTGTTGGTTTTGCTTCTTATTCATGTCTCCCTGCAAACATCTCAAAGAAGTGAAATTCTGCCCTAGATTTCCATGGAAGTCAGCTCGTTTGTTGCCCAGCTGCTAGGCTCCGCCTCTGCTTGGCTTCATGGGCACCAGAGCTTGCCTTGCTTCGGGGCCTCCTGGTAGATCAGCCACTGCTCCGGAACTTGTATTCAGACAGGTGGGGCCCAGAGTCAGCAGCATGGTGGAGAAAACATTGAAGGACTTATCCTGAAGGCGCTTTGCACAGCACTATTTGACGTAATATGGAGAAAACTCCCACTGCTCATATCTAAGGCAGGGCGGAGGGCGGATGAAGGGGGAGTGCACGGCTGGTGCGCACACCCAGGCCACGTGCCTCCTTGTTCCTCACCTCACGGTGCGCTGTTCCCTCTCCGGGCCCCTGCACGCCTCCTCTTTCCTACCCCGGAACTCACCCTCATCCCGGGAGCATCCCGCAGAGCAGCCCGCAGCGCTCTCCTGGGGCCTGATGCGTGCGCAGCTCGCCTGGGTGGGTGCAGGGCGGGGAGCGCTTGCTGGCTGGCTTCCGATTCACCCAGGCGAGGCTGGCTGGACGCAGCCACCCACATCCCTCCCCCAGCACCCTCCTGGGGGCGTCCATCTAGAGCCCTGTCTCGGGTCTGCTTCCGAGGGATCCGAAGAGCCTCCTGGGGCACGCGTTGATGGGACACTGACAGATTTGAAGTTACCAATGAGCCTGAGGTCACAAAAACAATTCAAAACATTTTTAACTTTAAAAAATAATTTTTGAAACTAATGTAAAAAGTTTCCTTGACTACCCCCCAAATTTATGGGGGTTACATTCCCAGAGCACTCGTGATATGGTAAAAAATTGTCTATAAATGCCAATTTTTATAGTTTAAACCCTAAATATGCTACATCTCCTGTACATCTCCTATAGTTATTTATACGTCTCCTATGGTTATGTAATTTAATCTAATAAAATACTGTATAGTATAAGTAAAATGTAGTATAAATAAAATACGGTACTGTAATTTAAGAAAAATACTGTACAGTAGTTCGACCTTCCGGAGTGTCTTAAAGGTTTTTGGTGTTTACATTCATTGCCAGAAGGCTTAGAAGGTGCAGGGCGTCTGGCAGCATCTTAGGGAATCTTAGGGCTTTAAGAACAAAACCGAGAACACTCGAGACAGCTACACGTGGTACAGCAGCCTGTTATGATGTGGAAAGGCTGGTGCACCTACCGGAGATGTGTTACAGGGCAGCAGCCAATCAGCAGCAAGGAGAACCGAACAATGCTCTCGGATTGGCTACTTGCAAACCTGACAAAAAAACAATTGTGGAGGATATTTGCGGTTTCCATGAAATTGCGAGGATTTCAGAGAACAATTATTAGTTAGTTTCTAAGAAAAAATCCAGGAACTACTGAGGCCATGAACTCTGAACCGTGACTTCGAAGAGTTAGGCTATACTTATTTTTCCCCATTAATTGGACACAATGGTAGCATTCCCAATATCTTAAAATTTGATGATATATTTTTTTTCCCTATTAACTTTATTGGTACATTTTGGGTATAAAATACAGTTACATTCATCATTGGGATCTTGTACCATTACATGAGTACCTTGGTTCTTATTTATTTTCCCCTTCCCTTGCCCTCCCTTCACCCCCTCCACC